AGGGGTGCGGTCTCTGGAGTGGGGGCTGGGGATGAGGGGCTTGGGGTGCAGGGGAGGCTCAGGGCCGGGGTAGGGTGTTGGGGGGGGGTGCAGACTCTGGGAGGGAGTCATAGAATATCAGGGTTGGACGAGACCTCAGGAGATCCTCTAGTCCAACCCCCTGCCCAAAGCAGGACCAATCCCCAAGCTTGGGTGCAGGACGGGGCTCAGAGCTGGGTCAGGGGGTTGGGGTGCAGGAGGGGTTTTGGAGTGCGGGCTCCGGGTGGTGTTTACCTCAGCCCGTTCCAGGGAAAGGGCGACATGTCCCTTGGCTCCTAGGCGGAGGCGCAGTCAGGCAGCTCTGCACGCTGTCTCCACCCTCAGGTGTCACCCCTGCAGCTCCCATTGGCCACGGCTCCCAGGCAATGGGAGATGCGGAGCCCCCGCTCGGGGTGGGGGTGTGCATGGGGCTGCGGCCGTCCCTCCATCTAGGAGCCGAGGGACATGTCGCTGCTTGTGGGGAGACGCACGGAGCCAGGTAGGGAGCGTGCCAGCCCCACGCCAACCGGACTTTTGACAGCCCAGTCAGCAGTGCTGACCGGAGCCGCCAGGGTCCCTTTTCGAGCAGGTGTTCCGGTCGAAAACCGGACACCTGGCAACCATAGCCAGGATGCTGGCAGCCAGCACGATTCCTCTACTATTAAAGGTGCAGTACCCAGAAAAGAGAAGGCCGACATCTCAGTCACATGGCTACACGCGGCCTAGTGCACAGTGAGGAAAGTTGGCCGCACACACTTGGAAATCAGCAGCAGCTTTATTATGCAACAAACAACTCGATGCCATGTTAACTCTGGCCCGTCCTTCTGTGACGCTTGGAAAGGCTCCTATGAGAGGGGGAAAAACACAGTAAAAACAATGATCTTCAGCTACATATTGATCTTCCAAACTCTCTGTTTCTATCCATCCATCCAGCTTGCAGCTAAACACCCTACACTCATATTAAAATGACCATCGTTTCCACCTGAAAGGACCACGTTTCCTGCCCCTCTAGGGTTACAGGGGTGTACCCAGGGCCGGCACAACCCATTAGGCAACCTAGGCGGTTGCCTTGGGCGCTAACATTTGGGGGGCAGCGACCGCGGCGGCCGGATCTTCGGCTGCCCCCGTTGTCGTCGGTATTTCGGGGGTGGGACCTTCTGCCGCCTGTCGGGGGCGGCATTTCGGGGGCGGGACCTTCCGCCACCTAGGGCAGCAAAAACGCTGGCAGCGCTCCTGGGTGTACCTAGAGCTTTAGTGCACGGCCCGTGTCTGTGCTTACCTCGCTAGTCCTGGAACAGCTCCTCGGGAAACAGCACCTCAGCCCTTCTGGCCTGGAATAGGAAGAGGAAGGATTAATCATTCAAACACGTAACAGCCCATGTCACCGTGGGGCTGAAGGGCTCCTGCTACTCAGACTGCATCAATGGGCACAGAGACCGGACATAATCTGATCCGCTGCAAAGGGACCTAAGAAGAGAAAAACGTAGGGGAGGCAGAGCATCAGCGCCACCCTGTGGTGAGTGGCTTACATGACTATTTCTGCCTTACTTTTATGGAAGAACAATACAAAGTCCTAACTAAGCGGGAACTGTTTCCTTGCAGTGAGCCCAGGACGAATTCCCACCAGAGGGGCTGCTGCTGGGCTAGGCTGTTAACTTGGACCCTGCCTTCCTTTGCAATCCCCAAGCCTCTTCAAGCGCAGTCAATTAGGACTCCAGGAACAGAGGTGGTTGCTTTGGGTAGGTCTACACTTGGGGCTATTTCGACCCTGCTAGCACGGGTGTAACAGCAGTA